CAATCACAGCACATTGATCCAAACTGTGATTAACAATTGCAATAGCTGTCTAGAAACCTCTTTTAAATGGTGAGAATAATTATCTTCAAGTTGCTGTGAAACAAAAGTACTTAAAATGACTGAAAGACTTGAAGGGGAAATGGTTTATGTTTTTTCAGTGTGGTCCAGTTAGGGCTGTAAGTGGAAATGAATCTTCTAATGTGATGCTTCAGTATTTCATTTCTCCCTACAGAAGTTTTAGTGATAATTGGATTACTTGTTGAAGACCAGAAAGAAATATAATTAACAAGAATTGTATTTTCATTATCTCTGGTTTCTAGCCCTATAGGCCTGTTCCAGAAAAGCTATTAGAGAAGTTGGGTGACTTTAGCTGTTGCATAAACAGCCCATTTGTCTAGGGTTCCAACCCATGTGGGTTCTCTTTCTTCATGAGGTTTTATATCTCTTCTGATACTTGATTAAACTGTAGTAAATATTTAAATCGTCAAAAACCTGTTTTAAATGGGGTGATGGAATTGGGCAAAGGATATCTTCTTTTTCTCATTAGGCTAAATGACTCTTAAGGAAGAAAGTTTCCTAAGTCATCATTTAATTAGTGAAAATTGACTGTAGTGCAGGAAACGGTCTAACTAAAAAAACCCATCTCTACACTATGTAGTAAATCAGACTCTTCACCAAGGATATTTAAAAATTCCACAGTATTAGTAACTGTCAAGGGAACTTAAGAAAACAGATGTATATATTTCATTTTCCTTGACACCACTTTTCAGTATCCTGTATTGGTTAATGATAATACTCAACTTTTAAAACTTACTACTTGCCTTTTTCAAGCAACATACTCTCAGAAGTACTTATGCATTGCTGTATAGCTACCTCATCAGATTCAAACCTCATTAATAATTATGTCTACTATGTTTCATCCATAGAATCCTAGTTGTTTTATAGAACAATTAGTTTGGGTTCTGATGGCTACAATAGACTTGCCAATAACATCTAGTCCAAATTGGACCTCCTAATGTAAGACTGTAAAGCTGGAATACTCTCTTTGGGAAATGGTTTGTAAGTCTTCCTCTCCAGTAATGCATCAAAATGGCATATTGGTTAGCAGCTCCTGACAGTATGCAGTTGTATTTTCACACGCCATTAAACTTAGAAAACAGCCACTGTGCTATTGCTAGCACTGACTCTAGCAACCTCTTGTAGCAGAATCCATATGAAATGAGAATTGTGAAAGGTTCCCTTTGCAGGCAATGGCAATACTTCCGTCGGATTTAGTGGCACAGATTTTCGTGGTTTATATTGATTGCAGATAGTAAAATTTTTGCTTTAGGAAAAATCCTCTAGGGCAGATTTCCAGCACATTTTCTCCACCTCTCTCCCTTTCTTCCTGTATACCCTCCTCCCTGACAATTGCAGTTACGACCCAGAGGAGTTTAGATGATAAATTTTAAATTGCTGTATGAAGATGTGACAAAAGTATGGAACACAGGGAAAGTTGATTCAGTTTTGTTATCATTTGTATAAGTCAAAATAACATAGGAATCCCATAGCAGACAGTACTGATGGATTTTGAAAAAGAGTTGCTATACATGTGTGCAAATGTTTGTCATTATTCCCTAAGCGCAGGTAGTCTAGTAATGAGGCTCCTGCAAAATGAAAGGAAAATTTTTCTTTCTTTTGTATGCCCTCTGCACTGTGACAGAGATACTGTAATCTTCACTTCCTTTTCTGTAATATTAATTAATTTGAGTGCAATATGTCCTCTTGGAAAAATCTAGACAAGTCTATGCCATCAGATCTACTGTGCTTGCTGCATTTCTTTTCTTTTATGTGGTTTCTCAACAAACAGGCTCATGCTCTTATTTGTAGTAACTATGGAAACTTTAGAAGCTCTCTTTCTAAGGCTGAGCATACAATAAAGTGCTTAAAGTGTTGGTAGGATTAGAGACTCTAGAATATGTTTAATTTTCTCTCTGTGTCTCTGTCTTTGGAGAGAAGCAAGAGGGTAATGTGAATATTAGCTGGGGACTAGCTTTAATCTCTGCTGACACTTAAGTCTGTCTAGGTCTGCACACAGCCATCCAAAGGTCTTAGCCTCACACAGCATGCGAACAAGGGAAATCATGCATATTCATGACTGAATTTACAATGGAAAACCTACATACAGAAAAGAGTTTTTGAGTGAGTGAAAACGTTATTGAAACCATTTTGCAGCTTCAGCTACAGTAGTCAATAATGATAAATGCTATAATGATGATAGAGTTCATAAGATAATGGGGATGTCTTAGATATTATGTAAGCATGAATGGATATGATAATAGGAAAACATCATTTGCTCTGGGGTTTAGCAGTGTTTTGTGTTGAAGGACATAAAGATGATGGTAACGGGATTATTCCCAAGGCTAATACATAAAAAAAACTTTTTTGAGAGTACTTTTTCTCTGTGTGGCACTTGGAGTGATTGAGAACTGACGCTCTTTGAAAGTAACTTTTTTTTGTTTTGTTTTTTTAGGAGGTATTCTTTTATGCAAGTGCTGTATTTTATGCACAGCTGTATTTTAGGAACACAACACGAGAAGTCTGCTCCTCATCCCAGGAGCAGAGCCAGGGATGGTGGTAGTGTGTTTCTCACAGTTCATTGGGAGAACTTCATGTTACTTTTTGACATTTGTGAAATGCTTTAAATCAGACCTTGGAAAGACCTGCTAGATATCAGCTTTTGTTCATCTGTTCGCTCATGTGCATTCATCAGCTTGCATACTTAACTATTCTGAAATTTATTTTCACCATTGGAGCTGATAAGTGAGATTCTGCTTATATGTGATCTGATTTCTTTGTTACTTTATTGTTGTTTTACAGACTCAGATGTAATCTTCAGTGGATAGTCAGTTTATGTAAGTTACATGTAGTTTCACACTCGTCTTTTCACCTAATCACCATAGTAGTGATTCACTGACAGAAGAGAATACCTTGATATTATCAGTCACATTCATTTATTAAGGCTTTGATGTGATACATATTTTTTTTTTTTTCTTAATTTCTCTCTTCTGTCATTACCCCACCTGGATCCAGCCTTTGGCCAGAATTTTTTAAATGAAGGAGTTATGCAGCATGCTTCCTGACAAAGCCTGAAGAGCTCTGTCAGAAAGAAAACCTGTAGCTGTTACTGCTTTTCCTCTTTTGATTTTCAGTTCTGTGCTGCTTGAATGTGAAAATAAATATAAACTTCTTTTAAAAGGCAGGGGGCTGTCTCACTGATGCATGTTAGTGCAGGATTGTTCCTTAGCATGTGTGTTTCCTGTGACACTTGTCCAAGCTGCTCTTCCTTTAAAACTTTCTCTGTTGGCGATTCCTTGTGTGCTTTTCATTTCAGTCCCTTGTCTGTTCTCTTCCAGCATCTGAGTAGAGCTGTGGTTAGCTATAGTCCTAAACTTTTTTTTTTTGGCCCCCTGTACTCTGAGTTTATCACTTCCTCTCTCTTCAAATGTAAACTTGTGAAGGTAGGACTGCATCTTGTATTAAGGAAGCTGCTCCTGCTACATTCTGTTGTTCATCCACATTGCCTGGTGCATCCATCCAACAACCCAGTGTGAGAGGCTGCCCCTGCTGCAAGTGTGTAAGCCTGCGGGATACTTGGAGGTGGCAGCAAGGCAGGCACAACAGTCAGTGGAAGGTGCACAGAAAAAATGGCAAGACTGCTACTGTAAAAATGTGCATGCAGTGGTACTGGATTTTCCGAATGCTGTCATGACAGATTGTGTAAGAAAGTCCAGTTCCTGTATTTTATTTTTTTGGCTGAAGTTCCCATCTTCCACAACTGAAGAGTTTTCCCCTCCAGTCATCCCCTGGCAAATGCTCATAAGAACACTGTCTTATCTCTGTGCTTAGACACTGTCCAACCCAAAAGACGTCAAGGAGATGAGTAAATTATGCATATTCTTCTACTGGATGTGAAGCTACATGTAGTAAATAATTGGTGCCCTGCAGGCAAACCACTTTTCTGTGATTTAGAATGGCTTGCCTCCCATATGGGTAACTTGGGAAAGATTATATCATAACATAGCTTTTCAGCTGCAGAATTGGGGCTAACATCTCTGACACTTCATAAAATGAATACTGTAGTTCACTTGGAAGATGCCTGACTGATAATCCTGGGAATTTAAATCCTTTGTCTATGGCCCTGACATGTGCCTCAATCCTGGCCTCAAGGGACCACCTTAGAAGGTGAATGAGTTGCAGCTTGTGCCCATTTAAACATGAGCAGGAACTACCTGCTGCTGATCTTAGTGTCTGTTCTGTTGGCAAGTTTGTAAAAGCACCCAAGTACAGAGAACTGAATTTAGATAACATTAGAAGTTAAATATTTTTAAATGTCTCCCACATTATTTGTGCTACTTTCAGTTGTTAACCTGCATAAGATGTGTTTCTCTCTTTCTACATTTCTTCAACTTGTACAGTGAAAATAGTTATCTTCTTTCTTGTACCTGGTTTACAGATCATTTTGTCGGTCAGTTCTTGGAAGTGCAGTGTCAGAGTGTTAGGATCGTAAACACAGTGACTGTCTTATTTTTGCCTTTTTTTTTTTTTTTATACCTCACTAGGAAGATCATTGGAATATTTCAATTAACTGTAATTTTGATTTAAAACAATATGTCCTTTTAATTCGTGCAGTTCATTTGTGTTTTGATCTGGTTGTTTTTTTTTAATTCAAGATAAAACCTAGTAAACTTGCCTGAAGTTAATGGACATACCTCATTTATACTTAAATTACCTCATATGCAAGTATTTGCAGGATCAGAGTCATTGCCTATAAATGTCTTACTTCTTCTAACCCTTGATTTCTACTGTTTTTCTGGGTTTGAGGGATAGGAGGGGTGGGGGGGCGGGACAGGATGGGACAAGGGACAGGACGGTATGTGGCGGGGGAGGTGAATGCAGTAATAAATTAAAATAAGCATTGTTTCATCTTTAAATAAATGATCCTTAACTTTGTCCAACAGTTGTGAACCAGTGGGCAGTATATGCTATCCGGAATCTCACTGAACAGAATGAGAGAAACCAAGAGCTTATTGCACAGATGGATGTCAAGGGGTTGGCAGACAATTCTGCCCTTGAGAGCATGGGTTTAGAGATAGAGAAACGAGATGACAAGTTAATTCTGAGATCTGTCAGGAAAAAGCCCTTGTGAACAAAAAATGAAGAACAGTCAAATCATTAAAAAAGGATTTCTCTTTTAAAGTATTTTTCCCTGCTCAGGCAATCAAGATTTCTTCAGTTTTAGTTCCAGTCTGCTGGAAGTGTTACGTTCATTCTCAAAAAAACTGCCAAATGATACTTCAGCCTCACTGTTGTAAACAAAAGGACACCTATACATTTTCTAAATACCTAGGTAAATTAACCTATGGAAAAGGTCCTTCTTTTCTGATGCTTGAAATTTCATTACTTTCTTGTTTTTTTAAGTAGAAGGATGTCATGTATGCAGCATTGAGTTATAATTTCCACTGCTGAACCTGGCAGTAACTATCATTAAAAACTCAACAAAGGAATAACTGCTTTGCAGTCTGCCTTCTCCGTTGAAAAGATCTGTGCTGAGTCAGGGCTAAACAGTGAAAATTACTCATTTCCAATCATGGTGCTTAAATATTTCTACTTACATAAGCATCAGCGGAACATTGGATGTACATAAATATTTAGTGAACTAAATACAATGTGCCTCCTGTGTATTTAAATTATTAGTAAATTGTCGTTTCTACCTTGTTACCTTTCAGTCTTCATGACAAGTATATTAAAAACAAAGCTGAAGCTGTTGTGGCAACAGATGCTACATTCCTTTGCACTGGGGCATGTCTCTGTTTTGGAGACTTGGGTGTTTGTTTGAATTTTATTTGTTCCTTTAGATGGTAAGTCAGCCCACTTTCCTTTTATTTTGCACTTCTCATGGGTTTTCTGAGCTCTGGCAGACTGCTGAAGTGGTAGTTTCTCACTGTGATTAATTCTAGCAGTTTCTTTTCACCCCTCTGCCTTTCCAAAACATTGACAAAACTCATTTCCAGTTAATTAATTCAAGAGAGGCAGAAGAATGGAAGGCCCTGCCTCTTCATTTTGGGTACCCTCCTATATTGTTGTTGGACCCTGCCACTGTGGAATGTGGCATGAATGAGATGGGGGGAGAAGGGGGGTGAAGAAGGGGGGGGGGGGGGCACCGTTAACTCTATGTGCACCATAGTTTTGCCCTGGTAGCCAAGAAGTGTAATCCTCCAAGCATAAGCAAAACAAGAATTACAGCTTAATATCACTAGCATTCGTGCACCATTGCTGTCATTTGGTTATCTTCAGTTGTGTCCAGCAGGAAGGTCCCAGAAAAGCTAAATTGCTCATGTTGTCATATTTTAATCCAATTCTTAAATGGAAATGCAAGTTTGTGTTCTAGAACTACGTGTAACAGACATTCAGCCACGTGCATTAGCTTTTGCTCCTCCAATTTGTTTGTTGGTTTCAAAATGGAAAAAACCACATGGTACTTCGAACTATGAGAAATACATAGTAATACTTGAAACTGATGGTGAGTATAGCCAGACTACTAAGATCTTCTCAAGTTAACCATAAGATTTCAGTGTCTACCATGTTGACATGGTGGGACTATGGAATGGAATTTATTTGCCTAGTGGAATTTTAGGCATCTGTTGGTTTTAAAGACAATGATATAAAACTGCTATCTTTAGCTGTTTATGAAGAATGTGTATAAAGCGATAATGGCAATAGGAACAAAGACAATAAATGTTGTTGCTTTTAGTGACTACTTTAAAAACAAATGGGAGAGAGAAGCGTTCTTTGTCTTAGAGGATAAATATGAATATAAGCAAAGTGCTTTATTTGCTTTTTAAAAATAATTTGACAGGAACATTTCAGTGGATATTAAAAATTGTTGTGTTTAAGTGCTGGTTTACAAAATCATTTCCTACACAGTTAGGTGCCTTCTGCTAGCTGAATGGAAAAGGATGTATGGTTTTGGTTCTTCTTGAGGACATTATCTATCAGGTTGTGTTTTCTCAGTGATTTCCATAAGCCTTAATTATTGTGTTTAGGCTAGAATTCATTTAGCAGTTTAATTTCTGTGTCACATAAGCGATAGAGCTGGTTTTGTTTGGATTTTTTAATCTTTATCTGCATAACATAATGGAAAATCCATACCTCTAGCATCTAAAGGGGGGGGGGGGGGAATTCTACTCTTAAAAAAAAAAAAAAAAGGCTACATCAGTCAAATTTAAAAGGAAAGAATTAAACTTTTGCTAACAAAGGAGCATCAAATATAATAGTACCTAGAAATAAAGTGGAGTGTAATTTTCAGTTGAATATCAAACTTCTAACATTTTTATTTTAGCACCATTACTTGGGAGACTTGTGTTAGGTAACTTAACAAAGTGAGAAAAAACCCACATAATTATCCTGAATAGAAAATGAACTTTTTGTGTAAGGAAAAAATGCAAAGAATTTCCTTTTATTTAGGGTAATAAAGAGTTAAAATCCTGTTCACAAAGCAAATCCAGAAAGAACTTTGGTTGTAGAAAAAGCAGTGGGAGTCCCTTTTTCCTTTTAAGCAGTTGGGAATAGACAGGGTTGGGTTTTTTTGTTTTTTTTTTTTTTAACTTGATGGTTGTCTGCCCACCAATGGAATATGCACAAACCCATAAATATAAGCCAAATAATAACAAACACAAATAAATAAAAGGGTTTTGTGTGTTTCGGTACATAATGGAGTAATAGTTGTGTTTTCTAAATGGGAAATGTAGGGCTTTCACAGTGGAGAACATGCTGATTACTGTATTGTGAGTGGCTGGCTTTTGATTTTCTGAGGTGGATTAATTCTCAGAACACAACAGCTTCCCTGTCCTCCCCCAGTGGAGTCCCAGTCTCCAATAGGCTTGTTTTATATGCTAGGGGATTAATACAGCACAGCAATCAGTCATAAAAAGCAAGCTTTATTGAGTTTGTAAAGGGGCAGAACAGTCAGATCAAGTCTTGTGACCATCTTATTGCTTTCGAGTGCTTCCAAACAATAGTGATCAGATTTTTTTTTAAGGACTATTTTTTATTAAAAGGGAATAGGGAGTTGGTTTTTCATCATAAGTGGATAGATTTTTTAAAGAGCTTTCTTGCAAATTGTGAGAAATAAGCTTAAATGTTTGCAAAGCTCTGAATTTTTACTGCTTCTAATAATTTAGGTTTGGTTTTCCTAAAGTGCTTGTGAAGTACGTTTTTAAATGCAACCAACAAAAAAGAAAATCCCAAGGTGGTTAATGCCATTGTCACAACCTTTATGTAGCAGTTGATTTTCTATTTTGAGGTTGATGTGTTTGCATAGCGAGACTCCAGAAGGAGTCCCCCTTTATTTGCAAATGAAGAAGTACTAAAAACGTGAGGCCGTCCCCAAAATTACCGTAAATCTTTCTTTGTACCCAGCCTTGCCTATATCATTATTTTACGTTGGCTTAGAACGTGCTGTCGTCTTAACGGTGCTCTAAGCAGACTTCTTCCTATTAAATGCTGGGGCGGGGGACACCAAATAATTTACGAAGTAATGCGGCAGAGCGCGTCCCCCCTTGCCTTTTCGCTTCCTTCTTAATCTCCCCGGGGCTTCCTCCCGCACCGTGCACCGCCCCGGGTGGGGGCCCCGGGGGGGCGGCGGGGCCGGGCTCCGGCGGGCGGGCGGGCCCTGGGTGCTGTCCGAGGTGCTGACGGAGCTGCCCATGGCCCCGCGGAAGGCGCTCTGCGAGCCTCCCGCCCTCCCGGGGCCAGCCGCTTCAGAGCTGAGCTGCCACCGTTTTCCTCATTCCCCTCAGAGTTTCCCTGCGGTGCGTCGAGGTTACGGCTGGGTAACAGCGTGCGTGCTCTTTTTAAAGTGTACTTGAAGACAAATATTTCTTCCTCTGTTACACGTGGGAGATCTTTGGGTCTTTGTTGTTTATGGGAAAACCTGTTAGCAATGTCACTGCTTAGGGTTAAATGATGCTTTACATGTTCAGATCTGGTTCCAGCTGCTTGTAGCTTGGCCAAATCGTAACCATTCAAGTGGAAATTTTCCATGCTGCTTTCGACTTAATTGGTTTCTTTAAGGGGATTTCTGATCACAGTAATTTCTAAGATCCAGTCATTTATGAGGATGAGAAACTGGCATTGTTTTTTGTATATGTTAATAGTATCCCTAAAATCATTTCTTTAAAGACTAACTATTCCCAGTATAAATGAGGATCATGTATTTTCCTCTGTCATAATCCAGTCTGAATTTGACCACATTGTAATATCTGGAAATTCTTAGTTTATACATTTTAAGTAGAGACTTCAGAGAGCTGAGCTACTAAATTTGCTGAATTTGCTTTTGCATTGTCTTTATTCATTCATGAATCAGGGGTGTGTACAGGGAATTTTCAACAGCAATTGGTCCTGACTAGTGTGGTGCTGGCAAACAAAATCAAGAACTGAGAGATTCTCTGCACTTCTCTGAGAGCTGCCTGCTGGTGTCCATCTAACACAGAGCTAGGAACTTCTTAGACTAGATATAGCAGCAACAAACAAAATTGGATCTCTGAGAGTGAGAGAGGGAATAGGTCAGGTCCAGGAGGACTACTGGGAGATGGGGAACACATGGTCTATTTGTAAAATATGAGGGAGTATGATTATTTTGCATCATATCTCCTAAACTGTGACACTTGCAGAAGTTTACTGTCCAAAAGATATCCTTTAGGAGGTGCCTCCCCTCTCCAGACTAAGATCAAAGCAATGTCTACTTTCACTGCAAATTTATTTCAGACAGGATTAGCTCTCTACTGATTTTAGTTGCCTTACCAGATTCAAGGATACTCTGCTATCTGGCTCTGCATTTTCTACAGACTTACAACTTATTCTAAATGCAGCATATAATTCAGAAAATACTTAAATAGTTAAAATACTTAAATAGAAAATAAAATATATATAAATAAATCTGAGAATTCTATTTTTTCATATCTTTTCATATGAAAGGAGAAGACAGCTGGAGCTAAAGAGAGATAGAAGTCTGGAGCATTTAAAATTAACTTCATCCTCTTTTTGCTGCATGGTATCTCACCTCAGTTCAGAAGCACAGCTATCGCTCTTGATGTAGAGACATCACTGAAGCTCCATTAGTAAGATGCACTGTAACTTGCCCTTGGCCTTGTTTAAACTTCAGGTGACTTCCGTAAAATTTTTAGGTTAAACTGAAAAGCTTCCTATTGTTCTTGAGTACAAGCAAATATAAGTTTAGAGACACAATTGTACAGAAGGGATTTCTGTTTGAATTTTCACTCTGTTATTCAAGAAGTATTTCAACCTGTACATCCACTTGTGGAGCTGTGATGCAATGCCTTTAGTTTTGGTGGGGTGTTTTGTAATAATTCAAAAGTTATATCCTGACACTTTTGACATTTGTTATAAGATGAACAGCCCAATCTCTGATTGGTATTTTCGTGGGGTTGTTCTTAAGAGGTTTTCTTCTCGTTGGATTTTGAAAATGTGATCGAATTAGGCACAAAAGCTATGTTTCCTAAGGCAAAAAGGATATCAAAAATACATCTGAAATGTGTGAACTGAACAGGCTTCTCAGCGGTGATGTTAACTCTAAAACATAAGCATAGAAAATGTTGGTGATGATAGCTATTCTAAAGTTGACTTCTTTTTCAGAAATACATGTTTATGTTGTATTCACAGCACAATAATAAGGAAAAAAATAGGGATTATATAATTTATCTTAAATATCAAGTCCTAAGTCTGGGTATAGAGGGGATTTTCAGCTGGTCAGCC